GCAGGACCCGGCACTTGGCCTTGTTGAAGCTTACACAGTTGGTCTCAGCCCATCCATCCAGCCTGTCCAAGTCCCGTTGTAGAGCCTTCCTACCCTCAAGCAGATTAACACTCCCACCTAACTTGGTGTCTTCTGCAAACTTACTAAGGTGCATTCTATCCCTGTGTCGAGATCATTGGTAAATATGTTAAACAGAAGTGGCCCTAGTACTGACCCCTGTGGAACACCACTTGTGACCAGCCACCAGATTTAATTCCATTGATCACCATTCTCTGGGCCCAGCTGTCCAGCCAGTGTTTTACTCAGCAGAACGTATGCTTATCTAAGCCATGAGCAGCCAGTTTCTTCACTAGAATTCCATGTGAAACAGTGTCAAAGGCTTTATGGAGGTTGAGGTAAACAATATCTACAGCCTTTCCATCATCTGTCAGGTGGGTCATGCTTATCATAAAAGGACATCAGGGTCATTAAGCAGGACCTGCCAGTCATAAACCCATGCTGACTGGGCCTGATCACCTGGTTGTTCTGTAAATGACTCGTGATGGCACTGAAGATGATCTGCTCCATGACTTTCCCTGGCACCAAGGTCAGACTGACAGGTCTATAGTTTCCCAGATCCTCCTTTTGGCCTTTCTTGAAGATTGTCGTCACATTTGCTATTCTCATATTACAACATCAAACAGCTCACAAAATGTGCAGGACACAGGAACAAGTCTACAGACACTTCATCACTCAGCAGAATTTTATGACCAGGTAACATGGTTCCATAAACCTACCAGTGGATGCTGTCAATTTATATGGCTTTCTGTTATGTGGGGATCAGGAAGAAAGAAGACAGAATAGGAGAACAAAATAAAAACAACTATAAAGCATAGAAAAAAGCTATCAGAGCAAAGAAAAAGAAGAGAAGGAAAAAATAGTAAAAAATTGACAGCAATTGCCTTACAGTATAAAATGGCACCTGAGAATCTCTTTTCAGAAAGTTTTCAACAGAAAACAGTTGGGGAAAAGTGCATTTCAGATTCATCAACTGGCAGATATTAAATACATCACAATGATGACATCACACATTATTGAAAATTCAGATTATGTGAAGAAAAGAAGACAACCTCTACATTTTTGTCCAGCTCTGCCTTTAAATGGAAGACACTCTTTTGAGCAGCCTTTTTACTTGAGGTCATGGGACAGGGAAGGAAAAATTCTACCTTGATCGTAAAGATTTTTGTGGCAGAAACTGTTTTGTTTTTATTTAAAAACCCCTGTTGTTAACCCTTTTTTTTAGCACAGGTAACTAAAATAATGTTTCAAATACAGCACATCAACAATTTTTATGAACTGATGTTTCTGTCTCCTAAGAAACATGAACATTTTAATTATATGTCTTAATTACATAAAGTGGTCAACTTCACTAAGTTTAAAAGTTCATATTGGTAGGGCAATGCACTGTGAATACATGCTCCCTCTCAGAAGCCCGTGTTCTCAGTCTCTCACAATAAATAATCTAGCTTTTGGAAAAATAGTAAGAAAAATTGCAAAAAATTTTGAAAGCATTTTTGTTCAACATTACAAAAATAAATTGAAGATTGGTGTAGAACTTATTTTTTGAGGTACAATATAGAATAGTATGGTTTGTATTACTTTTTTAACAGTGAAACAGATATGAACTACTTGTATCATAGCACACTGATGCAGTTGGGTCCATGTGACAGATTTCACATGGCTTCAGTGCAACAGGAAAGACTTTTCTTCTTTGCAGTTAGAATTCCAGCCATAACAGACCATTAATATTATGACGTGCTTGCATTTAATTTGCTTGATTTTCAAAAGTACAAAAACACTACTGGAAAATACAGAAGATATGTACGACTGATGTGAACGTTTTTGGATGTGACATACAAATAAATTATTTGAATGCATATACTTGAGTTTTCTTATATGTAGGTGTGATCATGCATTCAAATAAACATGCAGTTCTTTGAATATGTAATCACTGGGAAAAAGCACAGCTGCATTTACTTCAGTGTGTGAAGCTCCTGATCTTTTGCAGATATGAAAAGCTTTACATCATGGTGTACCAAATATTTAGAATTTGATTCTGTAAGCGCTCTGTGTTTGGAAATCTGATGGCTTTCAGTGAAAGCCCTGATGCAGTATGACAAACTCTGCAAGATTAGTAGCTCACCAGAAAAATACAGTTTTCAGATGCTTTAAACATACATTTAAACTATTTGCAAAATATTCCAGAGAATACAGAACAGTTAGATCATATACGGTTTTTCTTTAATGGGAATATTATCTATAAGACCTAGTTCTAATAGCAACAACTAAATGACATAAGAGAAGATATATAGAGGACTGTTTTTACTAAAGTTCTACATTATATATACTTGAGCTTTCATTGTTTTAAATATAGAACTGTCAGACATTGTAAGCTAGAAATGTTTCTAGATGCCTACCTGGCAAGTCCTGCTCAGTTAACTCATCATATATGGTTAGATGAGATTCAGTAAATATTTGCTAACTTTTTTTCGATTGTGCTTGTAATACATTTTAGGCACTTCAGTTTATGCATAATTCACATGAAAACTTTTGAAACATTAAAAATTGATAATGGAAATAGCTTTCAACTCTCTACATCATCATATCAACAAAGTAATTATTTTTTGTGTGTGCATATGAATCTCTGTATGTAGGATTGAACATACACAGGAAGAATCTTATGCTATAGTAATTATTAATGCTTTCTTGGCAATACGTTGTACTTATTTTTAATTTGTGTTAGTTCTTCTCTAATGTTCTTTCCAGCTGTTGGCTGTCTCTTGAAGGAGGGCTACTTTATGCTTTCGTTGGACCTGCAGCTGCTGTTGTCTTGGTAAACTTTAATATAATTTCCAATATTTTCATATGAAATTATGGAATGGAATGTGCTATTTAAACTACAAAAGCTTAACTATTACAGTTACATTACATTTTGCTGTAAATACTGAGCTCAGTGTTGTTTAATATATTGAATGTGTGATTCATTTAATTGTGTCACTTCGTTATACCAGTTACCTCTCTATATCTACACAGTAAGCTGTGGAATATTCATGTACTGATTGGTCGCACAGAAAACATGTTACAGACATCGCTGAGTTATTAACAGTAGCATCTAAGCAATTGTCACTGCCTTGTGAAGTTCAGTGTCAGTCCTGATAGAGTGCTGCTTGGCAGTGTATCACTGTGCCAGCAGAAGCAACACGAGGAGTGGAACCAGACAGCAAGTTCTCCATGGCTACTGCTTTTGAAGGCAAAGAAAAAAATCATAATAGCTGGGAAAAGTTAGTTGTTTATTAGTCTTCCACATCTCTGGAAATGCATTTAGATGTAGGATTCACCTTGACTAATTGCAAACATCTGCAATATAGATTTCTGCATCTAAGCTGGTTATCCCAGCCATATTTCATTGTCAGTGGAGAAAAATATGCACTTTTAGGGCTTAAACCATCAGTAGTATTTCAGGTGTCTACTTTAGAGCGAGATGAATTGCATCCTACACGTGCCATCGGCTACCAGTCATCTGCTCTGCAGGCTGTATGAATTTTTTACAATAATTTGTTTAGCATTTTTCCCTTACAGCTTTTGAATCTAATTCTTCTTTCCACTGTACCTCTTTTATACTAGGGTTGCGTTATCGACAGCAGTTATTACTGATTTTCCCTTGCAAAAGGGAATTGGTCTTAGTAGTCATCGAAGATATAGCCATTTAGCTACATAGATTTTCCTGAAATGGATGTTTACTACTCCCATAGAGTTTGTCTCATCATTGCCTGGAGTCAAGCCAGGATCTTTTTGTACAGCTCACAGTCCCTGTCATGGTAGAGGAGCCAAGGATGTTTACAAAAAGCCAGTCATAATTTTCACATGGAACTGTATGTTCTCTGTGTAATTGGCAAGCTTTGTTCAGAGATGTTTGAAGTTCACAATCGCAGTTTGCCCTACCATTAGCTAGTAGCTGTGGAAGGAGCTGTTCCATGCAGCCACTTAAGCCTAAGTGTATGAAGCAAAAGAATTATATAACATCAGCTGAAAAATGTAAATGCTGAAAAAGTGATAATAAGAAAAGCTGGAAAAGGGTTGGCAGGACACACTGGCAACAATTAGGTGTTTTGGCACAGGTCTTGAAAAATCTGTTTGAAAGGAAAAAAAGATTACCCTTTTCTAATTAAAAAAAAACCCAACAAACCAAAAACAAAACCCAAAACAACAGAACATTTATTTAATAGATTCAAAACTTGGTATTACCTCTTTGCAGGGCCATGCAGAGACAGGTTCATAGAGTTCAGTTCACTAATACAAATGGATAATAACAGTCATTAAGTTGTCCATTAAATGCCATTAGTATGTCCATTGAGTGACAAAGTCTGACTGCTGAAACTCGTTTATTTTTAGGTTAGGTCTTCAACCCATGTATGCGATCATAACACCATTTACTTTAAGGGAGCTAAATGGACTTACCCCAGGCAGTCATCTGGCCCACAAAAAAAGGAAACTCAGTCAAACAAGGCTCAAGACGCGCATTTTGGTGAATGACACAGCAATGACTAATGCGCAGGAGGATATGGAAAACCACAGGCTGATTCTGCATAAGTGGGAACACCCACATGGGCCATAAATGCTTAAAAAGGAACACAGTTGGAGTCATCGCGTACTCTGACTAGCTCTTCCCTGCGCGCACAACTCCAATGGAGTGGTTTTCCTTGAATAGGGTCTATTGTTGCAAGTAAAACTGAGGAAATATTAAAGCTATGTTACTCTAGCTTATGGCCAGCAGACATGTCCGTATATAACTCAATACCAGGTGTCATTCAAGCTTCAAAAATAAGCCTGTTGGGGTGTGCGCATGTATTACCCATTTGAGAATGCAGCCTTTCAGTGTGCTCAGGGACAGCGTTACAGAGTTTCTGAAGGAATACTCAGAAATGTGACAAGAGACATTTTGAAGGACTATAGAAGCCTTTTTCTAAAGTAACAGGATAAAATATTTTATTTCAGGCACTGAAAGATCAACTATTTGTTTTCTGTTTGACAGGTCAACATGGTGATTGGCATTTTGGTATTTAATAAACTCGTTTCCAGAGATGGAATCCTAGATAAAAAGCTCAAACACAGAGCGGGGTAAGCAACAACTGGGTTGTTTTAAAGCATATTAAATTTATATCACCAATTTTCAATTACAGATATTCACAAAAAATGCTTTTGATTGTGCTTTGAACTTTTATATCAGTGTAACAGTGTGTCTAACAGATTCCATTCATCTCAAAAGCAGCTGTTGCATTATCCTAAGGGAATGCAACTAAACAAACTAAACATAATAAAACACAAGTACAACAGTATTAAGTTAATAAGAATGAGGATTAAACAAATCTGAGTGGAGGTTTCACAACATTGTTTCACACACGTAAAGTTGTTGCACTTAGGAATAGAGTTTTATGAACTGTGTTTGCTGAAGGAACTGATTATATTTGTCTAGTAATCAAATTTAATTACCATGGTGGGAAATGTTACTCATTTGTGTAAATTGTTATAAAATATTATTTTACGGCAATGTATCCCTTACTGAGGTCAATGTTATTTACCATTCTGACTATGTGAAGAATTTACCTTTGTTCTTACATCCATCTCTACATAGATGTATGTTCTAAATTAGTGTAACAGAATTTCAAAGTAAAAAAACATGGTTTGAAAGCAAAAAACAAAATTAAAATTCTGTGTTATTGATTATCTACTTGCATTTACATTCAACTTCTATTTGTTATCACGAGAAGAAAAGATTATGACAGCGGTGGTACCAGAAGCTGTTTTTCAGTGGATGACAATGATTTGAAATACTGTAGGAACAAACCTAGATTCATTCTATATCAGTGAAAAATATTTCACAAGTGCATCATCACCTTCTTAATGCTTATAAAAGTATATTTAAACATTGAGTAATTGTTTTTTACAGCTACATGTTCTAGTATTGTCTTTTGGGCCAGCCTGTAGTTAACACCACCAATGTCTGCATTTCTAGCAATGATAAGCAATGGTATCTTCATTTTACTGTGTCTTACTGTTATGGGTAAATTTATTACAGCTTCACTTTGACTTATTTTACCATTTCACTAACAGTAGCATTCCAAAAAAGTTCAATTAATTTATTACATGAGCAAATTTATCATAAATACTTCAGCTGGTGTGATTTGGATTTAATATTAATTCAATTAAATCTTTCTGGTTTTCATCTCTTTCACCATCATTCTGATAAATATGTACCAAAACTTTCACTTTGTTTCTTCTCTTTTCCTCCTTTTTCATTAGCAAGTATTAATTTCTTAACATTACGTTTGCCTAAATTGCTCAATCAACATTCTTAACTGTGTATTAACATTGTTGAAATATAGAATATTATAAAACTACCCAAATTATTTCAAGAGTAGTAATAGTAATTAGTAATCACCAATTCAAATTCACATCTGCTGTAATTCCAGTGATTTAAAGAGTTGGAGCAGCCACAGGTTTCTCTTTGTACTTTTTCTAAATTCATGCAAGCTTAGATTTAACTGCATTTTTTTTTTTTTTCAGCAACTTGATTGTGGGCTATAGAAATCTATTTGCTTATAGTGTACTTTCCTGATGAAACAAGTAACTTGCTTTCTAACAGTGTGCAACTCGGTTGAGGGGTATCTTATTTTAAAATAAATGGATAAAGAACTAGAAATTATTCTGTCAGAAACAATCCAGCTATTCTGGGAAAGCATGTAGATACCCTAACAAGAAACAATCTTTTGTGATAGTATGAAGTGGTGGCTCGGCAACAGCATTCCTTGATACTACTTGGCAGATGACGGGTCTTGAGTCATTCTTTGGGGCATAGAAACTGGTGCAGCATTTGCTGACCTGTAGAAAAGGGGTTGTCACTCATTTCTTAAGTATCTCTTGCCAGCCATGCTCAGGAAGACAACTTTGTTCTTTCTGGCAAACATTGGACTTATACCTGTCAAAAGTTCACTCAAAAGTTCAGCTGTAGAAATCATTTATGTAGGATTTAAAGCAGTGAATGGGGCAAAACATAGTAACTCTGTATGCTTTTTACCACCTTAATAAGCATGTGGAGAATCAAGAAGTGGAAAGAAATAAAGGATAAGCTGTCTTGATGGATCTCAATAACTTTCCTGGCATAAGGGGTAGCACACAGATATGCCCAGCCAGAAAGATTATATTTGGTTTATCTACATGTCAAGTTCTATTATTATTTGCAAGATCCAGAACAGATCTATAGGGGTAAAGAGAATAATCCAGTCTGATAACGTTGAAGTATTGCCAAGCAAAGACAGAAAATATTTTCCCAAGCTTAGTTTAAGCTTACCCAATGTGTTTTTCTAGTTCACTCATTAATGTAGATCTTTAATTAGTCTAAACTGATGTGGATTAACTGGGCTCTTTTCACATTCCACAGTCACCTTATACAAGGTCATAATTCTCACTGTTTTGTTTTTTTTTTATGGGAAAAAATGCATTTTTATGGAAAATATACTGCACTTTTTTATGGAAAGTCATCATTTGATTTATCAAAATAGAAACCACTGGAGTTCAATGTTAGTTTGGGCAGTATGTTAAAAACTTTGTGAACACTAAGTTTGGCAATAAAAAGGAGTGCTATTAGTTAAAATAGCCGGGAAAAAAACTGAAGTGTTTCGTATCTTCACCATGTTCACCACTTTCCAGCTGGGAGTAGGTAAAGAACCCTTCCTGTCACATCTCAGTCAGCTGTGGTTATTCCTGGCTCTGATAGCAGAAAAAGAAGGAATAGCAGAAGTCTTTATTTAGTCAACTCAGGAAGTTGAATGCATGCTGTATGTAAAAGAAAATTTAAATTCCAGGTTTTGCCCTTTAACTCTTCTGACAGGTGCCGAGGTACAATTGTTCATACAAAACATTTGAGCTTAATGCTTATGTACTGTGTTTTATTAAAATGCAAACTAGGTCACCCTTTATTTAGTACCAACTGATATTTATTTCACCAGATTCCATACATTTCAAGCCCTGTATTCAGACCTTCACATGGCATTGATAAAAATCACTCCAGATGTTAGTGGGCCATTGAGGTCACTAGTATAAATCTGACTATACAGTACGCCCATGCTGATTTGGTGCTCGAATGCATTTTGCAGGTTTCTTTCCCCACTAATGCCCTGTAATTGTGCGTATTTCATACTCCTCCTTTAAGTGTCCTACACTCTT